GTTTTTTGGTATGAATGCGTGTGGTAGTAGTTGTTGTTCAAGAGTCTTGGAGAGTTTCATCTTTTGAGAATCCCCTTATCCTGTTTATATTATGTATGTAAAAAATTTTATGGTGGATGTTTTAGAAGTGCTTGTGGAGCCAGCAGTTATTGCTATTTGGTGGCTCTTAGCTCCTTGCACTAGTATCTTATATTTAGTGGCAGTTGATGTGCTTTGGTGCACAACATATGTTGATGTATTGTGCATTCATTTTGTTTTTTTTAAAGGGAATGACAATGTTGTGTGTATTGTGCTAGAAATGATGTCCAAACATTGTTCCAATGGGGTTGAGGGGCTGAGTTGTTGTAGTGTTAAGGTTGGAAGACAGATTCAATAGTGTTGTTGCTGGAATTTTTTTGAGCGTAAAATATGTTCGTGTGTGTGTGTGTGTGTGTTACCTGGGAGACAGATTCAACAGTGCATGCAAACCATGTGGGAAAAAAATAAGGTTTTTGGTTTTAGTCATGCACAGGTGGTTGTACTAACAAACAAGGGCATGGATTGCTTTGGATTATAAGGTTACAATTGTCTTTTTACATTGAATAGTTCATCTGACATGCCTTTTTAGGTAGGTATCACACAAATAATTTTTGTAAGAAACAAACAAGGGGAAGGATAGGATAAAAGTTTAAGACTATGTATAGTATCTCATTGGGTAGAAGTGGAATGGATATCATTTCTAATACCACCTATAAATAATCCTTAAAACAAACATGCCCTGTAAGCGTAAAAGGCTTGTTATAACAATAGACAAGATGCCCCAGAAGAGGAAGAAATAATGACAAATACTCTAAAAGTTAATTATTTCGAAGGAAGTTGGGACTCCTGAAAAGGCCAAAGAAAAATATGCAATGGAAGTTATATAAAAAAAAGTTGGTACCCCTGAAGAGGTCACACCCACAAAGTAGGCGATAGAAATATTGATCAATTCAAATTTAGTAAACTAAAATCTCCTAAAGAGGCATCTCATGCAAAGGCAAAGATACCTAAAAATAATGAGATCTCATGAAGTTATGTAAGTACAAAAGAAAAATAAGACACTCTTCATGCCATTAGGAGGAGGAAATTCGTGGCCTGAAGAACAGCGTGAACTCTCTTACACGCCTGAAGCGTGGTCGACGCATACGTTCAAAAGATTCAGCTCTTAAAGGACAACTACATACAACTTAAGAAAAGGTTATTGAAGTAGAAAATGAAAATGCACCCACATCATCTCAAATAATAACCCATGAAGTGGAAAGTCCCTGAAAAGACACAAACTCTTAAAGAGATATAAATATTTGTAAACGAATAAATTTCTATTAAGTATGCATACATAGATGAGTTGTGGGAATGCACAAAAATAATCATCAATGATATAATAATTACTGAAATCTAAAATGGTGATAATCTTGAACCATGCACAATATATGATTGTCGACATAGAAATGATTAATCAAAGTGGAAAAAATCAATTAACTTTGACCCTACTAATAAAATACAAAATACTGGACCCGCAGTATAATATACCCGAAGATGTACATATAGACCTGTAGTTTTAAAACATCGAAAGTTGTTAAATTGGACCCGTAGTCCAACACTTTAAGATGTAAAGTCTATTTATAAATGGTATTTATATGAAAGAAAAAATAAAAAAATATGCAACATATAATACATTTAGTGGCTCAAGGGTTCCTGCAAAGACCTAGGATTAATTATGAAAAAATATACTCACTAGTAATTGATGCAATTATATTTCAATATTTTATTAGTTTAGAAATCTCAAAAGAAATCGACATGCATCTTATGGACATTGTTACTGCATATTTATATTGAAAAGTAGATATTGATATTTATATGAAAATCCATAAAGGATTGCAATTGCTTGAAGCAAACACATCAAAATCACGTAAAATGTACTCAATTAAGCTAAGACGATTTTTATATGGATTGAAACAATCTGGAAAAATGTGGTATAACCGTCCCAGTGAGTACTTGATAAAGGATGGGTATGTTAACAATCTCATACGCCCATGTATATTTATTAAGAAATTAGAATCTAGATTTTTCTACATTGCAGTAGATGTTAATGATATGAATCTGATTAAAACTATTGAAAAGTTGATAAAAGCTGCTGAATATTTGGAAAAAAAAAATTTGAAATGAAAGATCTTGAAAAAACAAAGTACTGTATCGGCCTGCAAATTGAACATACGTTAAACGAAATTCTTATTTCTCAAACAACCTATACCGAAAAGGTCCTGAAGCGGTTTAGCATAGATAAAACATATCCATTAAATACTCCAATGGCCGTTCGATCTCTTGATGTCACTAAAGACCATTTTTGTCCAAAGGAGGAAAATAAAATGTTTCTTGGTTCTGAAGTACCATACCTAGGTACAATTAATGTTTTGTTATACTTAACATAATATACTAGGCCTGATATAGCATTTGCAATAAACTTATTGGCAAGATTTAGGTTTGCACTAACTCGACGACATTAGAATGACATAAAATATGTCATACGCTATCTTCGTGGAACTACATATTTGAGTTTGTTATACTTAAAACAATCAGTCAATGATCTACAGTTAGTCGAATATGTATATTCTGAATACCTATCAGATCCTCACAAGGCTTGTTCATAAACTTTGTATATTTTCACATGTGGTGACACAACAATCTTATGGCGATCTACCCATCAGACTTTAATTACTACATTTTTCAATCATTCTGAGATTTTTGCACTCAATGAAGCAAGTCGTGCATGTGTGTGGCTAAGGTCTGTAGTTCATCACATCCGAGATACTTGCAAACTCTCTTTGATTACAGATTCACCAACAACCTTATATGAAGATAATAATGCTTGCATTGCATAAATTAAAGGAGAGTTTATCAAAGGTAATAGAACCGATCATATTTAAAAATCTTGCCAAACCATGATCCAGATGATGGAAGATCTCGTTTCAAGTATTCAATACATGAGAAGAATCACGTATTTTTTCTACACACAAGATATAATGCTAAATACGCAAAATGAGTTTCAGTGCTAAACAAAAAATGAACCTATTACCATGAAAATTAAATACATAGAAAGTATATGGTTTAGAGTAAATAAATCTCAAGATGTCATTTTCACTGTGATATCCACAATTGATCACGCTTGTTCATAAATAAAAAAACACTTATCAAATCAAGAAGAAAATTTTCAAGATGTTAGGGCAAGTCTAGCTTCAGGCAAAACATAAATCATATGAAAAGAGCAATAACTTACAACCAGATAAAAAAAGTGAGTATGAGATCATGGGAGAGGAATAGAATAATATTATGATTAATTTGTGATTAAAATTCATGGGATTGAATATTTGACTATTAGCTTTCCACGTAGCCATAAAATGGAAGATGAAATGATTCAAATTCAATTTAATTAGTTAATATTTATTGCCAGGAATTTAAACAATCTACAAAGCATCACATCAGCTCATATTAGTGAGTGATAAAATCAATTTTATGATGGTTATCGATGACATAATAGTTATATTAACGATAATCTATTATTTATCATAAAGTAAAGATAATTAATGAATTTATTGTAAATAAAAAAGTTTATGAGAAGTAAATAAAAGAGAGAGAGCGTCATTAACACAAGAAATAAAAAAAAAGTATAATACATGGAACAATAATTATTGTGAAAATGGAAGTATATGAAAAATCATTTGAATATATAATTAATATTAAGCCATTAGAAAATAAAAAAAATGTAATACATGAAACAATAATTCTTGTGAAAATGGAACTATATGAAGAGTCATTTGAATATATAATTAATATTAGGTTATTAAATAAATAAGAATATAGCTGCCTTTAATATTTTTTATAGGGACATAATAAATAATCAAAAAATTTCATTTAACTTCTTTCTATTAGTAACATAGATATACATAAACTTTTAAACACTCAACAGTGAGCAAGAATCTAACCTGGACAATGGAGTTCGGCTCAAGCTCAACTAGTCACAAATGATGAATCGAATGTGAACATCTTCAAACTCAAAAAAGTCAACTCAATTAGCATCCTTGGTTGGAGCTTTAAATTAAAGTAATTGATTTAGTAGCATTGGTACCATTACCTAAGTACTATCACCTTTCTCCCTCTGCCCATTAAAGCTTAGCTAGGATGGTACACTATTTTGGTAGGCAGGTTACTACTCATGAGTCATGAAACATTGAAGGACAACTAGCACAATAACCAACCCAACAACCTTTGATAATTGCCCAAAAAGGTGGCCTCAAAAGCAAGGCTACATTGTCCAACTTCAGCTGGAAATTAGGGGAACAATGGCACTTGTTGCTAAATATAATTGCAAGCACAAGCCTCTCATGCATCATCAATGATGGAATGAACTCTAGGCCACCCCCAGTCTATTTTCGTACCTTCATATGTAAAAACAAAGAGAACTAATTGCTATGACAGACTCCTCGTGGAAACAGAGGATGTATTTACTCTTAAGTTTGCAAATTTGTGATATGCCTAGAAGGAACACTGGTGGCACGGGAGTTGTTTAACTCTCTCTCTCTCTCTCTCTCTCTCTCTCTCTCTCTCACACACACACACAAAACTACATACATACAGTAACCCAACCCACCTCCAACCCATCAGCCCCCAAGACTCAACAATGCCATCCCCACCCCACCTCACCTAAACTATGCAAACTCCACATATCCCCATCCCCACCCACCCCACGTCCACCCCTGCCAGCCATTTCAGCTACCCAACTCGCCTTCACCCCACTCCCGAAACCACTTCCTCACCCATCCCCCATCCCAACCCCAAACAAAGAGAGGGAAAGAGCCTCCACATTCTTGTAGATAAATACCAATGTTGGTTGTAGATGTATGATGTAAGATGTAAGCCAACCTGTATTGGAATATTTGGTCGTCTTCAAGTACAAATGACATAGAATGACCAAAAATACATGAGTTATCGATTCTATTACATAAACATCATTCTTTTACATTGGACACTATACATGGGCATCAAAAGGGTCGTCTCTCCTGATACTTCAAAAGAAATGCCCAGGCCACTTTTAACATGCCAGATGAATTTTGAGCAAAATCTGCACTCAGTGACTACTTACCCAAAAAACCTATTACAGCCCATCAGCAATTCATTTTTCGAAAAAAAATAGGAATATAACCCAGTCAATGTTAGAAAAATCTTCAATATTTGTCTGAATCCATAAAGAACATGGACTTTCTCGGACCTTCAAGGGCCATGCGTGTGAGCTGGTGCTAAAGTGATTCCGTCTACCAAAATTTATGATGCAGCAACACAAAAGGATAAGTAGGCCATTTTTGGACTTCTTTTTCCCAGTCGTTTTTAGTTCTTTGCAGCATCGAGGCAGAGTATCCCTGCAATAAACTGCTGTTGAAAGAATTCCTCTTACGGTTTACATCACTTGGCCAATCTCCTTGAGAGAAAGAACATCATCACGTGGATGAGCTTCTTCCACCCTAACTTCCACTTCGTCACCAATCTGTATTCCAACAGATACCCAAGCAGAAGCTTGAACTCCTACCTGCATATAGTAAACAGTCATGTACTACAAATAAAAACACAAACAAGCACCATTCTGTCAGTGATAAACATGGTAAAGCTCTAGAACAATAAGCCCCATACCAAGAAACTAGTAGATGTTTCAGGATCTTTTTGGCCAAGAAATTATTATGCCCCAAAATAAGTAGAAAAGTTCTATGTTTAAAATACAACATGCTTCATATGACAGTTGATCCAGCGCAGTAGGCAAACATGAAAACAACACATTTATTCTCTCATTATTACTCAGGACAGCTTATAGGCCCATTGAATACCACTGGATGATAGCTGGTTGTGGAAGAAACTAAGCTGAGGAAGGCAAATAAGTCCATGGAGTAAGATAAATAAACAAGTAACTAGATTTGGTTCTTTATACAGATGTAGCCATTTGATACTTTCTCAGGCAGCCCAAAAGTAAAGAGGTTGGTTGATAACAGGCAGCCAGCCATATTTTTTGTTTTTTTGAATGGATACTCCAGCTNTTCTCAGGCAGCCCAAAAGTAAAGAGGTTGATAACAGGCAGCCAGCCATATTTTTTGTTTTTTTGAATGGATACTCCAGCTATAACCAGATTAAAATAACAATTGATGACCAAGAGAAAACCACTTTTACATGTCCTTTTAGCACTTTTGCTTACAAAAGAATGTCATTTGTATTGTGTAATGCTCCAGCCACTTTTCAATGTTGTATGTTAAGTATTTTTAGTGATATGGTGGAGCGGTTTTTAGAAGTTTTTATGGCTGATTTTTCGGTATATTGTTATTCATTTGAATTATGTTTAGAGAATCATGAAAAATTCCTTGCTCAATGTAAGGAAACAAATCTTATTTTGAATTGGGAAAAGTGTTATTTCATGGTCACACAGGACATTGTTTTAGGACAAGTAGTTTCTACATAAGGAATTGAAGTTGATAAATCAAAAATTGATTTTATAGGAAATCTCCCACCACCAAAGACTCTGAAAGATAGATGNATTCCTTGCTCAATGTAAGGAAACAAATCTTATTTTGAATTGGGAAAAGTGTTATTTCATAGTCACACAGGACATTGTTTTAGGACAAGTAGTTTCTACAGAAGGAATTGAAGTTGATAAGTCAAAAATTGATTTTATAGGAAATCTCCCACCACCAAAGACTCTGAAAGATAGATNGGAATTGAAGTTGATAAGTCAAAAATTGATTTTATAGGAAATCTCCCACCACCAAAGACTCTGAAAGATAGATGTCTATACCCTTGACAATGGCAGTCAGAATAGCATAAAACCCATATATAGTTCATTTCACAGAGTGATTCCAGAGGAAGAGTTCTTATTTGATTTAGTTAAATATACAATTTGAGTTGCTGAAGTAATAATTTATATCTGCAACTCAGAAAATATCATACAATCATCATAGTAAATATTACATGTTTACCTCCAACAACAGCAAAGCTGCAGTCCTATCTTTTATAAATCGGAGGATCAATGCGCGAAACTTCTTTTCTTTTGGCTGCCTCCTCAAGTATTCTATTATCCAATACCGAAGACTACTGCTGTAGAGCCTCTTAACTAATCGAGCATTCATGTTAATTACTGATGACATCCCTTCCAGCTGACCAGCTGAGAAAGGATGAGAATCACCTCTAAGAAATGATTTCACCTACATGTACACATTCAAAATTATAAACATGTCAAATCACTTTTTACGGTTAGCATATTAAACTCCTAATTACAATGACATGGCAAAATCAGTGACATTAACAAGTCTTGCAGTGAACAATAGATGTCAAGGTTTACAGCTACAGCTAATGAAACATACAGGATATCAATTATCTTGAAATTAACTAGTTCATGGAAGTGCAGCTTGACCTACAATTAACAATGTGGAAAATAAAAAGGTCGATCAAAAATAAATAACATGTTCAATATGAATGCTGCTTTTCATAATGATCAGGTATCTTCTATGGGTGCAATCATCATATAACACAAAACTTGCCACTTTACAAGTTTGGCCACGTAATATGGCCAATAAGCACGCATGCATTAAAAGAGTACAGTTCCTATTCAGGTAGAGTTTGTGGAAGTGAAAGAGTTGCAAACACATTCTAACATTGACAAATTTAGATATTACTTAACTAGGTTACAGTTGTTTTACTTTTGACTAGAAAATTAAGAAACAATTACGTTTAATATAAAAGCTCACCTGATAATGAGCGAGAAGATCCATATATCTACGGATGGGAGATGTAAACTGCACATAACCAGGAAGTCCCAACACCCCATGTCGTATAGGCTTCCTAAAATCCATTTCAGCAGCGCGCATTATTCTAACAATAGCAGAGCTCCTTACAGGTCCTTCAGGAAGATGGGCAAAAGCAGATGCGTCAATATTCGACTGGGGCTGCCCTCTGTAGGGTAAGGGAATGTTATTGCAAGAACCATAAGTGGCTATAGCTTCTCCGCAGAGTATCATCATCTCTGTGACAAGTCGCATTGCAGGATCCGCCTGATCTTCAACGTATAGTTTAATAGACGGTTCTGGATTATCTGGATTAGCCACCTTGATTCGCGTTTCCAATGTGGCAGTGTCAATTGCACCCTAAATAATGCACAGACGCTACGTAGCACATTAGTAAGAGGCTAACAGACAAAGCACTTGATCTAAGAAATCTCAGAGTATCAATGAAGTATACATATATATATTTCGATAAGAAACCTAAACTTTTATTAGATAAAATGCAAAGTTCATTCTAGCGCAGATGGAATCCACCCCTTGAGAGGCTAATAAAATAGAAACGAAAAGAAAGATGCATCATAAAAAGTTAAATCATCAAAAAACTAAGGGGATGGTTATCTGATGACTTCCAGCTATCCAGTCAAGATCCACTGCAATCAGAGAAGCCAAAAACATTACTTTGTCTAGAGCATTTCCTTGTATTCTTCTTTATCTTCAAATATTCTCCAATTTACTTCCTTCCCCACTACCCAAAAACTGTCATTACTACACAATTCCACAAAATTGATCCACCATTTCAAATATACCACAATGTGTCTCAAATAACACAACACATCCACCTAGAATAACCCAACTGAAACTAAATCATCAAAAGCTCTAAAACAGTACATGCCTGGAAGCTTCTCCACAGGAAAGTGAGAACCCATCAAGAAAACCTTGCCATTATGCAAGTGCACATAACAAAGGATGTAGAGCGAAAACAAAACCTTCTAAAGATCATGTGAAATCCATAGAGCAAATATCAACAATTTTATTTAATGTTTGTGTGTAGCAATGGAAGAAATATAATCTGGTATATGAAAACAATAAATCCATAATCGTTTTGTGCCCAAATAAAAGCCCATATTTGAAGTAAAAAACCAGTGGGCACTTTTACCTTTGTCCACAAGAGGGTGCCAGTGCCACACAATGGTGAAATAGTGCCATGACAACATGTCCATAGTCAATCATATAGCTAAAACGAATTCCTAATAGACAAGGCCAATAGGATTGTGCAAATTGAACTACCGGACATCCGGACACATATCTCTTTGCACAAATTTTTCATTTTTCAATAGATTTGCAGTCAGATCAGTAAATTTCAATAATAACAATGAGTGTCATCAAGATATGTTGCATACTCAAAAAGTAGAAATCCATTTGTGCCTGAGTGTATTAAAATTAGTAATCAGAAGATTAGGAAGTCATAGGATCATGATTAAACCAACTATGGTTCAACTTCACAAAACTTTAAAATGTAAAAATAATAATTTGATTTAAAAAAAATGACACCAAACCTGCTGTCGACGCCATTGTAACCGAAGAGCTGCAGCCTCAGACAGAATTTTTAGTTCAGCCTCCTCCTCCAGGCTCAAATGAAGAAGCTCCGATGCACTCTCATATGTCAGCATATACGTTGGTCTGATGATCGAGTTTTCCACCGTATATTCTGCAATGCTATTGGACCCATATAAGCAGTAAGATTCCTTCTGCATATCATCTTCGTGAACCTCAATAACAAAAGAAATATGTAAACCTCACTAGTCTATCATCAAACTTAGCCGTTCTTATCACCATCATAACAAACCGCATTCAACAAATGCTCTTACATCAAAATGCAAGATGAATGGACGTCTATCCGTATGATTTTTCACAGATAGCCCACATGATAGTCAAGAAAATACCAACAAGCTTTTGTGGTACCTGACTGTTGTCTCGGTCTATTCTAGCAGCATTTTGCACTTTACTTGGTAATGTGATACACAAGCACCATCACACTCAGCAAACAAAGTAGAAACAGGGCAACTATTAAATTCATAAAATGCCCTTACTTTACATGTGTTATATGGATCAAAGAAACCAAAAAAGGACAAAAAGACAGACACACAGACACATAATCCGATACTTTGCTGCTACATGCATCAAAGTCATATAGATTGATGTAACATGCCACCAGAACCACAATAAAGTCATTTCAAAACCCAAAACAGAATGGACTTGTTAAAATTCCATAGGACATGCAAAAAACTTCATACAATGCTATGTTCAGCATGGAGTATTTCTAAATGGAAGTTCAGTGCCCATAAATCTAACACATTGCCCTACATCCCAAATGAACCATTAGAACATGTAAGCCAACTCAACTCTTAGCAATTGTATTTGATACATTGACCCTTTACCTTCCATCAGAGCGTAGCACAACGGATACTGTTACAGCTTTGCAAAGCTTCCCTTGCTTCAAGCTCATGCCTTCCATGGCAAGTTTCTCAGGAAACATTGGATAAGTAGCAGTAGGTAAAAACACAGAAGTTCCTCTTTTCCTTGCCTCTCTACAGAGCATGAACTTTGTCAAACAATGCTTTGGATAGCACAAATTTACAAGATTTTCTACACTATATTATCAACTGAGAGACGTGACTTGGTCTGTTGGTGTCTCCCACATTAGGAATAATCCTCAACTATTTAACCTATGACCCAAAAAACTATCCAACCCCTTCTCCTAAAACTTTGACAATGACATAAAAACCTCCTCAGTTTGAGTTTTGTAACACAACTGACCAACACCCCTCAACTAATTACCTAGATAACCTCTGACATGTGCGCCACAAGTTCTAATGTTGTACAAAAACTCAGTCCGAACCTGTCAATTATACTCCCAGGTTGAACTATACTAGTTGGATCTGCAACATGTATCCAAACTTTAATCCGGCCATCCAGCAACTTTGTCGCACTGAGTGCATCGTCAAGCTGCATATGCTTGGCTGTTAGCAAATTGATAGTAATAGCTCACCAAAATAAGAACTATACAAGGCACTGAGGAATCCCAAGAAGCCTAATTTGGGAAATAACAAAAGCCCTCTGAGTTTATGCTTTATATTTTCACCTCATCTGCTTCATCAACATCAATTGCATAAACCTTCAGGTGAGTCAAATCTATTCTATCAACCTGAAGGAGAGCAACAGCAGCACATCACATTCAGAACTTCAACATATAGACAAAAATTACATTGCTATACCAAATCATCATACTTGTTGACATCACAATTTAAGAAATGAACAAACATCTCCCATATAACAGGAAGACATTCCATTGAGGACAAAAAGAGAATGACAATGTGTTCTTTACTTTACCATCTGAACTTCAACAATTGTTCTCCTCAACAGAGGTGAGAAAGTTGTAATTTTCTTAACTCCACGGCCATCAAACATCCTCAAGAACTCAATATGAGAATTTCTTATTTTAATTTTAGCTTCTTAACAAAAGAAAGAGAGGAGGAGTAAGTCTTGCTCATTTGGACCAGACAAAAAAGGGGAAGTAGGTTGAAACAATTTTTCTAAAGGGAGCTACTTAGGGACTGAACCATCTTTAACAATTTACTCTATTAAGAGCTATGTCTGTCCGGTTTTCCTCAGCAGCACCATCTTACATTTCTTCCTTCTCGAGCAACCATCGGTCTCTGTTGCATAAGTCAAAGGAATAAGAATCAGGTAGCTTTATTCCTACATTTATATGAATCAGCTGTGATGGCAGGCAAAAGAAGCAAATTTTCTCCTGCCACATCAGCAGCCAAATGCACAAAACAAGTCTGCATAGGCTTCAAGCTCATCAGCCTAGACCCAAAGAGTTTACCTAATTGTTGTTTGAAAGGGATCTACCAAAGAAAAATAACAATATAAAAGAAACTAGACAGATAAAAAGAAGATGAAAGAAAGAAAAAACAAAGGATGGATAAAAACCACGTAAAGAATGCAAAACAGTATAAAACTAGTTTGATACATCTGTGGAAACCTCACAATTTCTTCAATGCCAATACCCTTCAAAAATTTCCAGCATGATACAAACTTCAACTCCAGAGGGGCAAAAAGAATTCAATGTAAGTTGGACAAGACTTTTGAACAACTAAATCTACTAGGGAAACGGGCTTGCCTCATCTGGGTCTGATGACTCTGACACAAGATGTTCAGCAGCCGATAAAATCTCGTCTGGATAATCAGTACGAATGTTGAACTTCAACAGATCAAGGTTGACGTGTACTGGGAAATATCCAATATCTATGAGAAGATTTACTGCAGAAGATGCTGTTTTTGGCAGTCCCATGGCCTTCAGAATCTGAGGAAAAACTTTAGATGCTACACAGATTTCTCGATATAAAACACAAAGTTTAGTCCCCATTAATGGGGTGTGAAACTGTAAACAAACATCGAAACTAAGAAATGTTATCATGTGATCATCTCTCAATTAAATATTTCTAGATTGGTTAGTGAAAGCAACATTTCAAGCACTAAAGTAACAGGATTAAATAAATAAGTCAGAAAGTTACCGCTCCCGCTGTTTTCTTTTGGTCATCATTCCTGCAAGCATCAACGGCATAAGCTTCAATAGACTCAATTTTGAGCCAACTTTTCTCTTCAACCTTCCAAGAAGATTTAGGCGGTTTAGCATCTAGAGGCGTTGCCTTTGCAGATTTTAGCAACTCTACAAACTCCTGAAATTCCTTGTCAGCAACCTCCTTAACAGCCTTCCTACGTAGGAGTTCTTCTACCTAGTTTTCAAATGGATGGAATCCCAAATTCAATCATTAGGAAATAAGGGAGCAAGTAAGCACTGAGGTATTATACATTTGTTAGCTGACTGCTGACCAAATGAAATAAGGAAGTGACTTAGAGACTCAGACTACCATTTTAATAAGCATAGAAGCATCACTATTTCAGCCCTTTGTCAATTGAGATCATCATCATCTTGAGATGAATGAACAAGTCCAACAAGAAAAAAAAGAATTGGATATAATTAAATTAGGCGATAAATGATCACATACTTTAACTATAACCAACCAGCAAACTGCAAGGCCTAATCCAACCATCTAAAACTAGCATACCGTCAAATAAGTCATAGCCATTCCAGGTTGGAGGTCATTATAGCCCTCACTCTGACATGAACCAGCCATGACTAAAAGCAATAAAATTGGTGAATTACTTTCTTTTAAATCTGCAAATGTTGATAGTCTAATGAATATTATAGGGATAACAGTAGTCTAGTAGAGTGCATTACAAATTTTATCTGTTACCAAACTATGCTTATCAGTGCAGGTCAGCACATGTGGAGCACCATCTAATACTCATAACAAACCAAGTTATACAAATAAATCCATCTCTTTGTCAATTATTTTTAACACAAGCCACATCCACAGCACACGCAACAAATACCTGAACAGTAGGTCGAGGCCTATAGAGGGAACAAGGACCTTTCGTCTCTAGTACTGCAAAGTAAATTTCATCTTTGGATAGCAAGAGGTGGGCACAATAGCTTTCTAGTGGCTCCGCACTACCAAAAATCATCTGTTAGAATGAGCTAATATCGTTAGATGAACAATGAGGTTTAATTATGACGCTGACAAAATATACCTCAGCTAATTCCTCAACTGTCACTAACTTATTCTTTTCAAGGAGCTCAACCCAAGCAAATTCAAGCAGTGTGGGATCCTGCAAAAAAGAGTAAAATCACTATGTCTATCTACTAACAAAGACTTTGAGGGGAAAAGCAACATTTTTTCCTTCTACATCATACTGCAAGAAGAACTAACCAAGTTGTTATGAGCTTTTTGAATAAAGTCTGATATCTCAGTGTGGTCAAAATTTTCAACACCGGGGACAATATAGGTTATTTGTTGCGGTTTAATGGATGTTGTGACACCATTCTGCATCATGTAAAACCTAGAGAAGAATCAGAATAGTTGAAAACCTACTAGTCTTATGCTTAAGCAATTGACGGAAAAAACAGTAAGTTTCAACACCTAGCAACCTATTCAACATGCCGCATTAGTTGTTTCTATTAGGACCTGATCGAAGACCATCCAGTTCTTCTTGCCATCGGGTTTCTGAGCAACTGCAAGCAGCAACCTTTCAGAATCTTTCTTGAACTCCAGCAGCAACCCTTTTTGCAGTGCTCGCTTTTCCAATTTCTCATCAAGAATCTCCCCACTGCTTGTTAATCAAAATAGGAAAAGTTATTTAGTAATATACCTACATCCCACAAACGAGTTACAGACTCCAAAACACAATTTCTAAAGCAGGTGTACAAAATTACAAACTACAAAACTATTACCCCTCTTACATCGAATTTAACAGTGTAGGGATTTGGATTCTGGAATGGAACTATTCCTCTTGAACTCATATGTATTAACCTGTCTTCAAAGATTTATATAGTGGCAGAAAGATGAATGTTATAAGTGCAGCATGTGGCAAAAAGTTGTTATATTTGATACCATGAGGGTGGTTTTTTCTCGATAGTTTCTTGAGTTGAGGAGATCGATCAGTGTTACAAAATTTTTATTTTCATCCTGTTTATCCAGTTTTTACAGGATTACTGATATACTAAATCCAAACCTATGCAAATTTCCTCCTATGCTGACAAAAGACATTTATTATGCTTGATGCAAAAAAGGGAAGAAATTGGGTTTATGCTTCCATTCAGATTCTCCTTGGGTGGATTGACGCATATTCGCTTGGCTTGCAATTGCGAACGAACAGATGGTTTTTGAATTGTCAGTTGACAGCTGTCTAACTAGCAAAAAACAAAGGGCATGGGAAGTTAAACTGCATTATGCCTTTTTCTAATTGATAGAACAAGAGGACACTTAAAATAAGCCAACATTGTATCAATCGAAGTTGATGATACACAAAATCGATTTGCACACCACCCGTCAATTAAGCAATATAAAATGCAATAAGTAGAGGGAGAGAGAAAACAAGGTTTATAGTGGGTCGGTCAATGAGACCTACGTCCACTTTCAATGACTAGGTTGGCCGGGAATTTTATNGGTTCCCACAGACGGCGCCAAACTGATGATGCACAAAATCGATTTGCACATCACCCATCAATTAAGCAATATAAAATGTAGTAAGTAGATGGAGAGAGAAAACAAGGTTTATAGTGGCTCGGTCAATGAGACCTACGTCCACTTTCAATGGCTAGGTTGGCCGGGAATTTTATTGACTCCGATGTGTTGGGAGAGCAAGAATTACAAGAGAGAGGGAGATGAGCTTGATTTTGTTGAGATGCCCCCCAAGTGTTGGGAGAGCTTACAATTTATAGAAGCCTGCGTAGTAATTGAGTAGCTTGACGGTTATAACGGACCGGAGACAACTTAATAGCTGATGACCTCTCTTNTATAGTAAGTAGATGGAGAGAGAAAACAAGGTTTATAGTGGCTCGGTCAATGAGACCTACGTCCACTTTCAGTGGCTAGGTTGGCCGGGAATTTTATTGACTCCGATGTGTTGGGAGAGCAAGAATTACAAGAGAGAGGGAGATGAGCTTGATTTTGTTGAGATGCCCCCCAAGTGTTGGGAGAGCTTACAATTTATAGAAGCCTGCGTAGTAATTGAGTAGCTTGACGGTTATAACGGACCGGAGACAACTTAATAGCTGATGACCTCTCTTCTCCCCGACAACCTCTCCTCTTCCTGGCGACCTCTTCTCTTCCTCAACGGGTAAGGGTATAGCTCCTGGATGTTCCCGTAGCTCCCTTATGGGCTTAACTGTCTTGGATCTCATAGGGCTTGCTTAGTCTTCTATAAGCTTGGGCTTTTTCCCATGGATTGGGCCATTTGGGCTTGACCCATCAAGTACTGTTAGCTTTGACTAAATTGCTTTCACATTCATCCTTGTCGTTGCATGGTGGAGTCACTAGCTTTGGTAGTGAAACTTAAAATTAAAGTGGAACCTTAGTTTGTGCACAGCATTACCAATTTCTTACACATTTTCCTTAAGCTTCAGCCGTTAGGTATTTTCAAGTTGTTATAACTAGATTTCCAAGTCAGTGTTATTCGTGATGGATATTGCCTTTACTGGTTTACATTTGAATCCATGTAGGAAGTTTTTTAGTGTTTGTCATAGCTAGAAATATGTAATTCAGTAATTAATAGCATAACACAGTATTTAAAACTGTTAATTGCGGTTGAAGTCATCCGTTGTGCACCACAAAACTAAGTGAGGTCTCAGATCATCAAATATGTTAGAGATTAATTACTTCTAGATCACTATTATTGTGTTGAATACATGGCATTCGACTATGTAGCTTTATTTGTCATTTATATTGCATAGAGGAGATTATGTTTAGATAGCAAATAATTGGACAGCTTGCAGTATTGATTGTTTGATATAGAATTAAGTACCTTATTAATTGCAGCTGAAGTCATCCGTTGAGCACAATAAAACCAAGTGAGGTCTCAAATCATCAAATATGTTAGAGATTAATTACTTCTAGATCACTATTATCGTGTTGAATACGTGGCATTCGACTATGTAGCTTTATTTGTAATTTTTATTGCATAGAAGATATTATGCTTAGACAGCAAATAATTGGACAGCTTGCAGTATTGATTGTTTGATATAGTATTTTTCCTAATAAGGTACTCAAATAATCTGTTGGGCTCTATGGAACCAAGTTGGCCCCTCCAAGTCCAAGTATTATTTACGGGTTAACATTGGAGGGTAAGGTGATATTGATACATCATTGTTCCATAGACAAATATAGTTGAGGTTCCGATACACACATGTTATATAAAGAGTATTAAATGTAGATTGAATCATGAAGTTCATAAAATTGAATAAATATCACAGGTTCAAGCCACACTCGATCCAATAAAAAAGAGCGACCCAGTGCATGAGGATTGCGAGGTTTGGAGAGGAGCAGATGTATGTAGCTTTATCTGGCGTGCAGAGAGGCTGATTCTGCGATTCAAATCCTTGATGCTCAGATAATAATGAAGTAACTTTACCATTGCGCTAAGACCCATCCTCTACACTCAACCGAATACTTCCAATAAATTTATCATAAATGATAGAGAAAAAAATAGTTTGGTCACGTTTATCGGTCAAATAGAAAATTACGAGTAGAATGTGGTTTGACTCAATGGTTAGGCCTAATGTGCAGGTGAAGAAGCGGTTATAGGAGTCTTCTAGTAGAATCATTGGATTATAACTGTTTGGCTACCTTTGGAAAAGGTACTTGGCTTCCCAATATCATCCAGGCAGTTATTTTTTTCAAAAGTGAAGCAATAATGTTTAAGGCAGCATGGCACATGATCCTAATCTTATGCTTTCATTGCTATTATATGTATAGTAGAGTTAATAAGGACCACATAATTTGCTTGAAAGGACAATGCTTCAACATATTTTACTTGTAAGTGTTAGTAGTTTATTTGGATTTAGGAGATTAGTTTATGAAATTATTGCCCTTTCCATCAATATTTCATGTGCTAAGATGAGCAAAAAGTATCATCTTTGTTTGGATGATGCAGAGAATGTTAGACAGAATAGCCATATACATTTTGAGGGATATCCAGTTTTGCGTGTTTTTTCTTAATAAGTTTTGATAGATGCATGCGTGCTTGTGAACATTTTTTGGATTTTATTAAAAGGTTGCACCCAAGACACACTGAGGTCATTGCTTCCTTATGAAGAACATGTAAAAGCTTTAATGTGCGTGATTATTTGTGAGTTCATGAAAATGCTCCTTTTGCAGCATATCAATTGGACAATCAGGGCCGGCCCTAGTGTAAGGCCCTCAAAGCGTGGGCTTTTGCCCCATTTTTTTAGTTAGGCCCCAGTATTTGTAATTATAACCACTAGCCTAAATAAAAAATTTAATTTTATAAAAACCTAATCCCAACAAAAAAATTAAAGTTAGATTTAAATTGGATAGTTTGAGCCTATTTCTGTGGCCCATGACACCAAAAAAAATCATAGAAAAAAATTAAAACAAAAAAAAAACAAAAACAAAAAATAATGGTAAAAAGTGAACTTTTCAATATTTTCTTCCAACCACTCATACCTTTTTCTCTCTCTCTAGCTAACAAAGGGCACCTGAGCTGCCTTTGTTTTTTATTTTTTTTTATTTTTATTTTAACCGTTTGCCTTTGTTTGTTTATTTCTTGTTTTTATACACCACAAAATTCACAAAGTTTATAATTCTTTATTAGCACAGTGGGCAGCTCAAAAAGTGAGAAGAATAAATTTTAAATAAAATATTATTTTTAAAAGTAAAAGACCTCTTTTTTAGTTGTCATTTTAGGCCACAAAATATCACGGGCCACTCCTTTGGACAGTATGTGCGTGATGCAGTCCATAAGATCCTCATAGAAACACAAATTCAAAGATGTGCAAAACAATCGAATTGACCTACAATCAATACAAAGATCCATATGAAACCTTCCATAATGTTAATTGAGTTAGTTTGAGTCTTATTTTTAATTATTTTGGGTTATCTTATTGGTAGGATTATTTTATGATTCTTTTTTTATATTTATCAAGAGTTTGGGGTATTTTTTGTAATTTTAAGATTTGTTGGAATGAGTTATAGTATGGCCAGTGAGTATTCTTTTGGGTTGAATTCAATTGTTGGATGTTTCTAGATTTTATTAGTTCTAGTTTATATTAACTCTATGTATAACTAGGGATATTTTAATAAAGAGAGTGATATTTTGAAAAAATTTTCAGCAATTATATGCTTGGATGATGTGTAATGCAATCCAAAACCCTATGTGTGAAGCCTAACGAACCATAGGAGTGATTCTTAGTTTTTTATTTCTCTGCAAGTATCCAAGTTCTAAACACCTTTATTAGAAATGATATATACATTGTACCTTAACCATCATATATCAATCCCTATACCTTTCCTCTTCAATTTATCTAACCCTATGTTTTTATTTTATTTTTATTTTTTTAAAACTTTTACAAGGGAGGGGGCGGTGAGGTTCGAACCCAAGACCTAACGGTCTAATGGCAGGCTGCGGTGGCCATTAGGCCAACTGCAAATCCTCTAATTTATCTAACCCTAGAACATAAGTTAACACAATTGTCTCCTAAAGTAATATTCATGACTAGTCTTCACAATCTCTGAACAGTGCTAGTTTTTTTTATTTCCCCGCTGTCCTACTTAGTGTGTACTTATAGGATCTTTTATTGCTTGTGGTACTATTACCCATTTGGGCAGAGATTCTGATCTTTTTTGATTTTTAGGGATATGATTTATACATATCATGCTTTGTTTTCCAAGGAAATTCAATCCAATGCATTTATGCAAATTTATACAAACTAAATGCAATTAATAAAGGAAAAATAGCATTGACTCCCTCAAGTGGTTTTTGATAATTGTAGGGTACCCTTGTTTCTGAATTTATGATACAACCTTTTTAGTTTGTGTTAGAAATCATGGGAAACCCTCCGTTTGTTGGTTAAAATACGATGGGATTATGCTGACATCATCACATTGTTTTAATAAATATTGATTTCACAGTCCATTCTGACCATGGTGTCATCTGACATAATAGAACCACACCCATACCAGCATTGAATCTCCACCCAATCTTTTGGATCCCAAAACTTTCGATACTCTCCCTCACCCCCTTCGATAAGCCACTGCCACTATCATCATCACCTTGCCACCACCATCCATTCCAGAATTGTCACTACTAAAGCCATAACATCACACCCTTATTTGAGTTGGATTCTTGTTTGCCTTTGATCGAGCCTAACTATAGTTATAGTAGCTTTGACCCGAGCCTTGACAATGTGTCAAGAATTTGGCTTTTTAGAGGGAGAGAACAAGATGTAGAGAGAATGAGAGAAATAGGGGGGGAGAGAAATGCACAGGGATAGAGAGGAATAGTGAAGGGGAGAAAGAGAGAAACATAGAGGGATCATGATTCATGAACTGGTTATCCTTTATTAATTAAGATTTTGAGCTTTCAGAGGGAGAGAGAAACAAAGAGAGAGATGCCAAGAATATCAAACGAACCCATCTCATTAATCATCGCGACATTCCAATCTCAAACAAACCTACCTCAACTCAAACCTCAAAAAAAGCCCTTTTTGAAAATGACACCACCACTAGCTGCAGCGACTATATATGTGCATGTGACCCAGTGTGCATGTTGTGTTTGATCCAAACCATTATTGAGATCGAACTCACTGGTTAAATCAGTGTGCTCGTGTGCGTATGTGTCTCAGTGGGGGCTGGATAGTGGTTGGTGGCGTGTCTATGATGGTGCCAGCAAAAGAGTGGGAGAGTTTTAGACTTGTTTGTGTGTGGGAGTTTAAGAGTGAGAAAGATGTTGTGACCAAAACAACCAGTGTAGGAGCATTTGGTAATAGAAGGGTATCTCAAAAAAAATTTGATAAGGTAAAATTGACAAAGAACTTATGTCGTCTCCGACATCCTGTGAAAAGGGCAATGTGATTTTGGAAACAATGTGGATATTTCCTACAATTATTATGTATCACGAGGGGTGTCAATATATTTTTCCCATTAATAATGATTATGTTAGTTCCAAGGTTAAGCTTGCCATTTTTTGGCAACAAATATGTTTCTTAAAACATCATGAAGCATTTTTTTATAGGAATGCAGTTGATTGGATATCCCATAGCATATCTTTTTAAGCTTGAGTCATGTATGTTGGAGGTGATTGGATTATGTATTAGGGCTGGATCCTGGAGCAAAACTTGACCTACATCCATTTCCATAACGTGATTGTTCACATTTTTTACAGGTGATGATGATAAATCATGTTCTTATATTTTTTTCCTCTTTGTATTGTCCATATCATTCTGGATAATCTATTTTTATACATTCAATGAAATCTCTGCCACCCCCCGGGTACCCAAGAAAAGGAAACAAAAAAAGGGAAAAAGAAGGATATATTTGTAAATGGTTAAGAAAAGAATATTGGACCCAACTTTAAAAAATTATTCTGCTCCCTCTACAACCAACCACTATGTCTGCATAGAAATCATGCTTTCCCATGCTTTTTCTGGGGGATTTCACATCCTTGAAGGACTTAATGTCCTCTTTCCTGTGTAAACCAGTAATGTTTTTGTCTTTTGTAATGGCAAAAAACTGGCATCATGCTTTACTGATTTACATCGTACATCAATAAGGGGAGTTGGTTTAATGTAATAGTCATATACTCGTATATTTATATGCTTTTCTGGATGAAGCTGTCCACAATATTTGAGGCCTATTTGATGATTATAAAGTATGTTTTGAAGTTGACTACACTGCACACTATAAGACAAGATGATTCGATTCCCTTTTGTTTTGCAAATGGATACCAATAATCAAGCTCCTGGCATTACTTCTGGCTTGCCCTTTTAAAATACTGGATTACCTGGTTATTACATCCTTAAGCTTCTTATAAGACTGCACCTCAGGTGCTGAATTTTTTTTTTCATGTTGTTTTGTTTTGGGCTTGGCTGCTTGGGGTTACCTTGTTGACTCGTTTGTCATTGAACATTTACTTCTNGGCTTGGCGGCTTGGCTGCTTGGGGTTACCTTGTTGACTCGTTTGTCATTGAACATTTACTTCTTTTTTTTCTTTGCTTCAATTTGTTTTGGATGCATCATCCAGATCATCTCCTTTTTGAGTAGCGATTTTGACCTGGATTTTTTATTTACAAGTCCCTTTGATAGCACCAACTTCCAGATTGCGGGTGACATATACCTGTGAACATGCTATGCCTATTTGGTCTTGAATCATCTGTACTATTATCTGAATAACGTCAACGTATATAGTGTGGCCCTTTTTGTTTGGATTGAAGCAACATGACCTTCAAGGCCGTTGATATGGGCTAAAGGTCCAAAGCATTTATATTTTGGTGGGCCATGCTTAAGCTTTTCCCGATTAAATGCTGTTACTCTGTTTTCAATAGATTCTGCTTTTTATGTGGTTATGATTCTGCTTGGTGTCCTCCATGTGTGTGTTTGGTTTTTTTTTTTTTTTTTGGGGGGGGGGGGGGGAAGGGGGTGTGTTCCTGCTTAATACCATGTGCACTGTTATTTACTAGCAGTCTTTTTTGGCACATTCCAGTGACCAACATGGGAAGATGGAATATATTGGGACATATGATGGAAAGCATATTGGATAATTATGGGATATAGATTGTGTTACCTGACCAGGGTTGCCCATATTTGAAGGTGGGGCAGTTTCAGGCACCACTGCACACCCCTTTACATCCCATGAAACCTAGTATGCAGAATGATATTCTTTGATTCTACTATGGATAGCTTTGTATGTGGGGGTATCCATTCAATCAAAGCATTTTCCCCCCAAAAATGAAGCATTTTGAGGTGGTCTTTGACTAAGAGATGTTTTACTGCATTCTAATTCCTAACATTATAGGTGCCTGATCTTCACAAGATGACTGTTGATTGTAGGTTTATTCTAGCTTTATGGTGGAAGTCGGGGGTCCTGAGGAATATAACCTCATTCTACATTGTGTGTTCATGTGTTGTTGCAGGTGACAAAATGTCTGCAGTGTGGTGACAAAGGTTTCTCGAACGCTTTGGTTTACTGCCTTAAGTGTCTGGATGTTGCTGTCCACCGGTAAGTTACTTCACTTCCATTTTTGTTTTTCAATGTGTATTGTCTGATTAGTGGTGCTGGCTTGTTTTGTCCATTCTCCTGTCTTTTTTTTTTGCTTTGGAAATAATTGGCTGTCTGCTGCCATGCACAAGGCAATCATGCTCATGAGGTGTCTGCCATTGTGGGGTTTGGGGAGGATCAGGTGAGTGTTCTTGCTAGACACAAAATCGAGGGAGTGACCAATAGAATTGGAGAGAACTTGAGAGGGAAAATGCAACAACTGTGGAACTCTCCGAAGAGTTGTGGCTTTTCTAAGATCCGAGTATGCGACAGTACATTGCATGGCTTTTTGGTGTAAATCTTAGTGCTTGAAATTTACCTTCATTAGCCTCTATTTTTCAACGATTTAATTTTACGTTAATAAACATAAATATATAATCTTATGTTTCTTAATTAGGGGAGATAAATTAAAGCTTCCCTAAATTCTGGACTCTGCCCCTGGTTACAAAATAATATTCCGTCTCATTTTTTGATCCTTGAAGGCATAGATTCATTCCAAAAAATGGGGGTTTTTCAAAGCATAGCACACCGTGATAAGCGATGATTGAAATGGCGCTTTTGTAAATCTAGTTTGTGCGTGCTTGACAGTTAATGTCACGTGCAAATGCAATTGAAACGATAGATTGAGATATAAGTAAAATAACATGGAATTACATTAGTAACCAATTCTTAATGCTGCAGATGTGTGGTTGATTAATTTTTAACATGTTCTTGGTCTTTACACTTCTTTTTTTCTAGCTACTGCTTGGATAAATTGCCGGAGACTTTTGGTGAATTTGTCCATTGGTTTTGTGAGGACTGTAAACCAAACTTGCCAAACCATTCTACATTCCAGAGATCTAGCTCTTTCCAATCCCGGAAAAGGGATCATAGAGGTTCAGAACCTCTTGAAACAATCCATTCTAGAGCAAAATTGAAGAAAAAGAACAGTAGTTGTCTGGCAACTGAGAGAAAAGCAAGAGCAAAGAAATATGGTACCATCTCAGTAGTGGAGGTGAGGGAACCAAGCCATCAAAGTACCTCCTCCCAGCAACCTTCTGAGGCATATACAAAGCTTGATGTCAGCGAGCATGCTCAATTGTTGGGCTTCACGTGCTCAGTAGCCGAGACAGAGGAGCAGATACTTCAAAGTGGCCCATTTTCGCTATCTCCTGAAGCATGCGAAAATATGGACGTGACTGGGGATGCTCATTTACGGAGTGATTCTTCCTCTCCCTCTTCAATGAAATTGAGAGACTCTTCCTGCTCAATAACCAAGACAAGGGAGCAGAGACAAAATTGTTCCTCCCAGCAACGAATCAAGCCAAATCGAAACCTTGGCTTGATGGAGCATGCTAACTTAAGGCATGACTGTTCTCCCCAGAAGATAATGTCGAGTAGGAAAACTGATGTTACCTGCTCAGTAGTTGAGATGGCCAATCGTCAAAGTCCCTCCTCCCAGGAGCCTTGTGTGACACGTACAGAACCTGACTCCACTAAGCATGATTCTTTGGTGGATAAATGCTCTGGCGCTTATGAGGAGATGAGGATTATCTCCATGTGCAGTGACAATCATGGAAAAAAAGTGAAGCCTGGACAAGAAAGGAGAATGACACTTGACGGTCGGAGCCGATTCGATAATAAGGGATCTCAAATAACTATTAATGATTTGTCAAATAGTTTAGCAAACTACTGCCATGGACTTGCACAGCCAGTGATTGATCCAATTTGGAGGTAAAAAATTACATTTTCTTCTGCATTTTATGTGCAAGGATGTGAATTGTGTAATTGCCTAAAACTTAAACTTCTTTCTGCTGGTTGGTTGTTCTGCTGACAGGGGAAGTTTTTGTATCCTTAACAAGGATAAGGAAATATTCGATGGATTTGTAGCCCATTTATCAAACAAAGCATGCCAAAAAGTGTTTGATGAGGCTGGGCTGTTTCCGTCATTCCTTTGCTTTGAGATGCTTCCCAAGTCTGAGTTATGGCCAAAGAGTTTTCAGAAATTTGAGCCATGTGATGACAATATTGCCCTATATTTCTTCCCACTAGACACAAGGTGTTGGTTTCAATTTCATTTAATTTTTGTCCCTAGTTTCTCCTAATTTTGGTCCAATCTCAAGTTCAATTTTTCTCGTTACAGACATGAAAGGGTTTTCGACTATTTGGTAGATGAGATGAGACTTCAAGAACTTGCCATGAGAGCCATCGTAAAAAATGCCGAGCTTTTAGTTTTCACTTCTATGGAGTTGCCACTGCTATACTGGAGTGAGCCCAGATTTCTGTGTTCTATGAGAATTTCCAGTCCTCCTGATTTGTTTGGTTTTCTACAGTTTGGTAATCAGTTTCTTGCTTGAAATTTTAATTTGCAGGATTCCAGGGCAAGTACTATTTGTGGGGAGTGTTTAGGAGTAAGCAAGCTGCCTCCTCTCATCCTGCAAATCATCATCTTCCAAATCCAGGCATATAATGTGATTGAATATGTGAATTTTGCGATTGCTGGTGACAGTCCTGTTATCCTTTGAACCAACATTGGTAATTTTGAGTCTCGCACTCTGAGGTTTCGTGCAGTCTTTCAGCATTCTGATATGATCCTCGAGAAGTTTCAGGGGTGTCTATGAAAGCGGGTATGATTGGATGTGGAAGAAGAATCTGAACTTGGATTATCTGTAGTAAAAGCGTTACTTGGGAATTTTACCACTTGGAAGAATTTTGAAGAGCTGTTAAAATGTCGAATGCACATTTACTTTGATGAAATTCTTCTTTTGGAAAGGACAAGCCGGAAGTTGGATATGTTCTTGGACGAAGATAGAGTCTATATATAGACCTTGTTTTTGGCCAAAGCGAGAAGCGAGAAGCGAGAAGCGAGGGGAAAGGGTGGATNTTGAATGCACATTTACTTTGATGAAATTCTTCTTTTGGAAAGGACAAGCTGGAAGTTGGATATGTTCTTGGACGAAGATAGAGTCTATATATAGATCTTGTTTTTGGCCAAAGCGAGAAGCGAGAAGCGAGAAGCGAGGGGAAAGGGTGGATTGCAGAGTCTTGAACAACTAATCTAAGGGGCTAGTCTTCGAAAAGTTGTTTGATTAGTTTGTTTTTGATTTGTCTGTTGTTGGTGATTGTGACAATGATAGAATCACAAGTAGATTAGTGTGTAGTGGGGACAAAACTGCAGCTTATGCGTGATCACAAAAAACAGTGGAAGATCAGTGATCATCACTTGACACTTAGATTTCTTCAGATGCGTAAACCTCTTGGTGAAATTGGGAAAAGAAAATGGTGGGGCATTCCGAGAATTGAACTTGGGACCTCTCGCACCTTATCCGAGNTATTGTTGGTGATTGTGACAATGGTAAAATCACAAGTAGATTAGTGTGTAGTGGGGACAAAACTGCAGCTTATGCGTAATCACAAAAAACAGTGGAAGATCAGTGATCATCACTTGACACTTAGATTTCTTCAGATGCGTAAACCTCTTGGTGAAATTGGGAAAAGAAAATGGTGGGGCATTCCGAGAATTGAACTTGGGACCTCTCGCACCTTATCCGAGAATCATGCTAGAAGACCAAATGCTCATATATTGTGTAGATTGCTGTACACAGTTCTGCTGTCCTGACACCTTGCTATATAGAGTTTCAATTGATAATAAAGACGAATCGTAAATTTAGATATTTTGAGTTTGAATTTTGACAATTCTTTAATACTAGATATGAATGATTTGCTTTTGATCGGTTCGAGAATAAAATTAATTGAAGTATGCATAAGTTGGTCAGGACATTCCTGATTGTTCAATAAAAAAAATTTCACATTCTTTGAGATGGAATGGGCTCACCACTATATGGTCCGATAAAAAGGGAAANCCAGAAGACCAAATGCTCATATATTGTGTAGATTGCTGTACACAGCTCTGCTGTCATGACACCTTGCTATCTAGAGTAGTTCAATTGATAATAAAGACGAATTGTAAATTTAGATATTCTGAGTTTGAATTTTAACAATTCTTTAATACTAGATATGAATGATTTGCTTTTGATCGGTTCGAGAATAGAATTAATTGAAGTATGCATAAGTTGGTCAGGACATTCCTAATTGTTCAATAAAAAAAAATGTCACATTCTTTGAGATGGAATGGGCTCACCACTATATGGTCCGATAAAAAGGGAAAACAAAAATTATGAAATAAAAACAATGAATTGTATGTTGCCCCTAAGAAATTTAATAATCCCATTTTTATATTTTTAAAGATTAAAATTTTTACATATACCCTTAATATATTGAAAGTATTGTAAATTTTTGTTAGTGTCCATTGTCTATTCTATCAATATCAATGGGGTGGTTTTTGATGGATTGAGCAGCCAAAGCTAATTAAAGGATTACATTGTAGCACTTTTAATATATTGAGAGCGTAATGAAAGAAATTTAATTTTTGAGAGTATAAAGTGAAAACTCAACATCATGGGTGATGTAAAATCCAATAACCTAAAGTAAAACTCTTCAAAAAAGTTAAAATAAGTAACTGAAAAAGATAAAGTAATAAACAAAAGGAAAGTAAAGAAGAAAAAAATAACTAAATCCACAAAATGGCCACCACTATATTTCTACAGAGGTTGCGTAATGGATCACAAAATAGGATATTAGTACTTTGAACAATACAAGCCAAGAGAAATTGAAAGAAGATAGAGAACCAGTAAAATCTTTCTTTTCCTCGTTTGGCTGCTAATAAAAAAAGTGAAAGAAGGAAAACTTGTAGCAATGAAAATCTTCATTTGACATGAATTTTTTCCATTAACCAATCTGAGATTATAGAGTTAGAGACACAAACGAGCATACACAGTCTTTCATTTTATTTGAATGTTCAATGGAAATTGGACCTGTGAAAACCTAACACGAATCCCATATAAATAATCATCGTGTGGGGTATTGGTTTAATTTAGTTGAGTTGAGTTGAGTGGAGTTTGTTGCTCACATTTGGCTTAATAGTAATGGTCCTTGATTACTGATCTTGTTTTTTTCGAGTTCGACTAGACAAATTTAGGAGCATGAGTTAAACTTGAACCAAATATGGCCAAAAGTTTTTAAAAATTAAGCATTCAGAACTAAATAAATGATTTTTATCTCTCAAAAACAAAATCTATCCTACTTGCATCCACCATAAAATAAAATCCTACAAGTTCAAATTTCTAAACAACCTATTAGAGAAAAGAGGGAGGAGAGAGAAGTATTTATTGTCGGCAGCTATTTTGGGATAAATTTGAGATTGTTTGACAATCAAAACAAGGAGAGTTTGTAAACAAGAACCTACTAGATTTGAGCCACGTTACACACATTAATTGGATTGGACTTATTTTTTAAATAAGCTTAAAAATCACTTGAATTTATTTTATAGTTGAACAAGCCTAAACGGGACAAAAGGCCCAAGTTGCTTGGATTCTCAAACAATCCAACCACCATAGCGATTCCATGAGTTTGAAACTTGGTAATATTCGGATCATGAGAGATTTATCCCTCATGAACTCTTTAGTTTCGGCGTGAATGACATGTCTTTGATAAAACTAGAGAAAGAATTAGTTAAAGTACATGCGTAAACTAATTCAGACACATCTGATCATTATTACTAAAAAAAAAAAATCACCATAGCCCTAGTGTAGGTGATTTAATTACGTCTTTAAGATGCTTACTCTCTCCTTCCCACCATTGGATCGTGTCTCTAGAAGAGGAAAAAGTTAAAAAAAAAAAAAAAAAAAGCAGCCATCCTAGAGTAATCAATGTCATGATTGTCTTCGATCATCAGCTGGATAAGATTATAAACTTCAAAACAAAAAGATTCAAATAGTGGGCGAGTATTTTAATTAACCATGTTGCTCATTTAATGGTAGGTAATAACTTGCACGTCACCGTGTATTAGGTACATATAAGAAAAGTTTTTCTTATTTTATTTTTCATAATACAATCTATTTTAAAGTCAAACTTACCAAATCTCAATTTTATGTCAATTATTACAACTTTACAGTTACACTTAAATTTAATAATTAATGAACAATTTTTAACTTTTCATGGGTAGATTTTTCCACAAAACGTGCTCTTAACCACACACTGTCATGTTTCTAGACAATAATTAACATAAACTTGACTTTATAACAGGGGCGACCCAACCTAGTTTGGGCCCTAGGCGAAAATGTTATATGAGGTGTTATAAGTATTTATTCAGTAATAATAGTAATATTAAATATTTATTAAAATATATTTATTTACAAAATTATTTGTTTTTTCTTTTGAGATATAACAAACTAATTCAAATTCAAAATTTAAAATTTTATAAATAAAAATTGTGTTAATCAAAGTCAAATACGAAAATTAAATATAATAATACGTACTATTTGTTTAAGATAAAAGAGAAACATAATTGAAAATTAGTTTGACTAATAAAATATTTTTTTTTTCTAAATGTATATAAAAATAGGAATTTATACAAGTTGAGTAGTCCCAAAATAATTGAGACATTTATAAAATAAAACAGAGCAAATTTTAATAAGTCTATCTGACAATCTCAATGGCTACCAACATCTCTTTTAAAATCATTCAAATTGAATTTCTCTCCCTAAATCTATTACTTCTCACTTACGTTGCACCGTGCCTGCAGGCACGAGTTACCCCTAATTGTTAGATATCATAGAGAAAATGAGCTATTTTTAAATAAAAAAGATAGTTAGTGCACTATTTTTATTCAATCTATTTTATAGTCATTTTGTGCTTTGTAAACAAAATTATTAAAAAGTGACCTCAAATTTAGTTTATATAAATGTAAAATTATTATTCGTATCTATTATAGGATAGACAATTGATTTCAATAATAAGATGGCAAAGTGATAACACATATAATATAAATATCAGGTGAGATAAAAAAATAAGTTGAACTTTAGGACCTTATATTTTTTTGAAAGGGGTTCTAAAATTTTACAATAATACTAGTTGCACTTAATTTGAAGACCAAGTATATTATATAAATAGTGAATTTTGTTTAAAGTAAGCAATCACTATTAATTCAATGATTAAAATATTTTGAGTATTTAAATTATATATCATTGTTTATTTCATTATGGGGCCCTAAAATTTTCTTCTAATTTGGGAGCCCTAGGCAATGACCTAAGTGCCCTAAAGATTGGGCCGACATTGCTTTATAATTAATTAAGGATTTTTAAGGTATGAGTATAATTTTTTAGACTTATTTGAAGAAAAGTGTATGAATAAGTTCTGTACTTTATTAAGTTCAATTTTAATAAAATATATTGTGGTTAGGTACAAAATTCAAATGAAATCAATTTTTTTTTACCTACATATCCCCCCTTAAATTATGCATTCTTAATTGGTAGTTATGTATCTAATCCAATATGTAAAGATTTAATTAGACATTATCATTCTTTTTTGAATTTTGAATTGCAGTTTTGTATTATCTATGCCTTAAAACATGTTCTTCAACGGTAGGCTTTCTTGCGATTTTGTTCAACGTCTGGCTTGATGATTTTCTTTCTCCGATTGCGGTATCTTCTTGGTTTATTTTCATTTGATCTCAAAGTCTTTTTTTCTTAATCAATTGATTATTTCTCCGAAAAAAGGAATTGAAAATATTGATCACCATCATTGACTTGAAAGTAAGTTTTTAATAATCAAGTTTTTTCTTTTATTTGGTCATTTTTACTGAGAAATTGTAATTTCGATTTGGCTAAGGTGTTTTGTTAGATATTATGTGTTGTTCGTTATTTGAATGTAGGGACAAAAAAACTTTTTTTTTTAATGAGTATAATTATTTTTTAATGGGTGTAACTATTTTTTAATGAGTGTAACTATTTTTCTGATGAATGTAACTATTTTTGAATGCGTGTAACAATCACAGTCTCATGTAATTATTAAGGCATGATGTATCTCTAATTGGATAAAGTCCAAAGATGTATATGGTCTTGTTTTTATGCAAACATGATTATGTTACAAAAACTTGAATAGAGGTGTAACATACAATTATTTAATAGAGTTACTCAAAACATAACACAATAAAATTTCATAATTTATACAGATTACCCAAGATTAATATTATACTTTTTATTGAAAAAGATAACATCCAAAACTAAACAACAATGTTAGGGTATTATACAATAACTATATGGTGTATCTATATTAACCAAATCATTATCCCACACATTGGTAACAGTTTAAATTTTTACAATGGCTTTGATCTAGGTTTTTAGGAGCATTATACCTTTTGGGTGTAACTCAGTTGTATACAATAATTACATTGTGTAGACAAGTACAATTATATTTCATTGCCAAGTGTAACTCAGTTTCACACTATGAATATGTACATTCACTGCGCAGTTACTCATTATAATTATTCATACCATATACACATAATTTTGATAAGTAGAACTCAACTCATTTCAATTGAATAATGAGTCATGTTATTGGGATCTAAAAATCTGACATAATTTGTTAACATAATGATGTGACTTTATTATGACATTTGAATTGACTGCGGGCTTTATTAAACATTGAAACTTGGTATTAATCCAATAGTTCCAATGAAACCACATCATTATGTCAGCAAATTATGTCAGATTTTTAGGTCCTAATAACATTACTCTTAAAGAATTGACCTTTTATTATTTTCTTTTAACAAAAAATGGGTTGGGATTTTATCAAACAAAAAAAAAAAACTGAAGTAAAAATTTTTTTAATAGAGAATCTCTTACCTTTGTATGATTTAAATGATCGTAATTCCAAAACAGTTACCAACAACAGAGATAAGAATGAAATTATTTGAATCCCAAAATAGTTACTCAACACTGTTAGATCAAACAATTTTTTTTTCAAAATGTTTAGAATTTGTATTCAAATACCTTCAATTTTGGAAGTACTCATTCAATATAAAAGAATTTTACTTTGTGATTTTTATTTCTGAAATTAGGGTTTGAAAATTGTTTTTTGAATAGAAATTATAGAGTTATGAAAAAAAATGAATACTAAATAATATATTTTACATATGAAACCCGAATGCAACCAGCATTTTTCGGTGAAGATTTGGTAGGTGATGACGAAGAGTTACTGGACACCAAAATTCTGAAATTTTAATCACTTCTTTCTCTATATTTTTTGAAAAAAATCACTGTTAATCTTATCTACTTTGTGGAGATTCTATACAAAATCCATTCCATTTTCAAAATTTCCAAAGAAGAAGGATTATGATAATTACTATACCCTTAATTACCTCTCCATTACTTCACTGATGCCAAAGAAGACAATTGACAAACATATAGGTTCCATCCCTTTCCCTTTTACCGAGTGACATTCTCGTCATTTTTTAAAAAATTGTACTTTAACCCAAATAAAATTTTGTGTTATATTTTTACTCAATTAAATCTAAAAAATTGTACCGACTTCCATTTTACCCATTAATTAAGGAAGTAATTGAGTCCATAAATACTAATTTTATTTGACTTTGTTGCCCAGAAATTGTTTGGATTTCTAAATGCCATATCAATTGCACCCGGAAAATTTAAGTTTTAATTTGTTATTTAATCATTTGTGCAATTCAAAAACCTTTTCACGAAATTTTCGGTGCTGATTCTCATGAATTCTCTCAGTGGTTTGTTAAATACCACGAATTCAAGTATAACCCATGAATGTTAAAGTGGGTCCACCATCAATTTATACCGGATAATTTAATATTAAGCAAATTAAGAGAAGTTAGTATTGAAGTGCATTTTACTTTTTCAGTATCGTATTGCGATAAAATCTGACTAACACTGNTCAATTTATACCGGATAATTTAATATTAAGCAAATTAAGAGAAGCTAGTTTTGAAGTGCATTTTACTTTTTCAGTATCGTATTGCGATAAAATCTGACTAACACTGTTCATTTCTGTTTCATGTAAATTTAACCTGAAGTAAACCTTTTTACAATCAAAATATAAATAGGTTTTTTTTTTGTTTTGCTTTTGTTTTTGTTTTTATATACATTGATAGCATACTTCTAATGAGAGAGAGGAAAAAATTCGATTTCATGTTGTGCCTAGGGACAGACAACTCCTTAACCACACACGGACAAATCTATTTCGAAAATGTATTTGGCTCACTGGCTTAATCAGCCNTTGTTTTGTTTTTGTTTTTGTTTTTGTTTTTATATACATTGATAGCATACTTCTAATGAGAGAGAGGAAAAAATTCGATTTCATGTTGTGCCTAGGGACAGACAACTCCTTAACCACACACGGACAAATCTATTTCGAAAATGTATTTGGCTCACTGGCTTAATCAGCCCGGTTGTTGTATCAGCATATGTACAACTTTTGCCTCACTCTTGATGCCGAGGAAATTCATGCAAGCACATCAAACCAGCTATGTATTTCCCTATTTACCCAAAGACTAATGCTTTGTTTAGTACAATGAAAAAGTAGAAGAATGAAAAGTTGGAAGAACAGATAAAATATTATGTTTGTTAAATAAGTAAAATGAGAAGGATAGAAAAGTGAGAGGACTAATTTTCCTTNTACTTTGTTTAGTATAATGAAAAAGTAGAAGAATGAAAAGTTGGAAGAATAGATAAAATATTATGTTTGTTAAATAAGTAAAATGAGAAGGATAGAAAAGTGAGAGGACTAATTTTCCTTCCAATTACAAAAAATCTATCCTTTTAAAATCGAGAGTACAAGTGAATGANTGCTTTGTTTAGTACAATGAAAAAGTAGAAGAATGAAAAGTTGGAAGAACAGATAAAATATTATGTTTGTTAAATAAGTAAAATGAGAAGGATAGAAAAGTGAGAGGACTAATTTTCCTTCCAATTACAAAAAATCTATCCTTTTAAAATCGAGAGCACAAGTGAATGAAAAGTTAATTATATGTGTTGAAATATATGTTATTTACCTATCTATATATAAGCACATATGTGTGTGTGTGTGCAATTAATCAGTACATTGTATATAATTGGTATATATACCCTATTTACCAATTATATAAAATGTACTAGTTATTTTAACAGATAGATATAATTGTAAATGTATCTGTTCTTTTTTTTTTCTTCCACTTTTTCATCCATATTATTCTAAAATAAACACGTTATTTCTACTTTTTATCATTCCTATCAAACACTAAAGAGCGAATGAATGGTTTCTCCATTAAAAGATAGAAAGCATTTCTATTTTTATCATTTCATAGTTTCATTCACTCTATCTAACACACCATAATGTCTATGTGCAACAATAAGCCGGCCAAAGTCACTGACCAATAGGTAAGCAATAAATATTGGCTCTAAATGTGAAGATAAAGGAGCTTGGACAAGCTTGCCATTAGACCGTGGCTAGGCTGCAAACTCATGGTCTGGGAGTTGCTTCTTCAATAAAAGTCAATAGCATTAATTGGCTATCCTTAAATACATTCATCTCGTTATCAAGCAAAGTTAAATGGGTCCCAAACCATTAATGATTGATAATAAGCGAGCGTATACAAAATTTACCTATTAGTTTAGATGTTATTTTATCGTCGTGAGATAAGTTCTATCATTCTCTTAAACAATTGAGATGTAACAGAAGTTTTGATAAAAAAGAGTTTTGCCCAAAAAAAATCCAATTTGATACCAAGTTAATCATACCCAAAGTGTGGAACTCAAACATCAATTTCANTCGATAAATAAGAGTTTTGCCCAAAAAAAACCCAATTTGATACCAAGTTAATCATACCCAAAGTGTGGAACTCAAACATCAATTTCAAATATTGCAAGAAGACCAAGTAAACAGATGTGGAAGAAGCATAGATGCTATGAAACAACCAAGAAAAAAACAAATAAATATGTTATGTTGCAAATTACATGCCACANCAAATATTGCAAGAAGACCAAGTAAACAGATGTGGAAGAAGCATAGATGCTATGAAACAACCAAGAAAAAAACAAATAAATATGTTATGTTGCAAATTACATGCCACAAAGTATATGACAAGAAATGTTATTGAAAACAAGTATAATCAATCATAATTAAACAAAATCAAGATATTTCAGCCAAAACAGCCCACATCATGTGGCCCACCCTTTTAATTAAAAAGACAAAAAAATTTCCTAGAAGAAATCGATCTAAGAAAATTACTGAAATTCCAATATAGTCCCCTTCTGTATCATCCTCACCATTGAATAAACACAAAACCAGACAAAACCCCCCTCCCCTGCCCTCTCTATCTAGTTCTAAAGGCTTAAAAATCTAAGAAATTGTTGAAAATATCAAAAGATGGTATTGGGGAAGTCATAGAAGGTGAAAGAAAATATGGACTAGGCATGAAACTACCCTCTATATAATTCTTATTACCTCGTAATATAGGGCTTAAATCCTGAAAGAAGCTCAGAGGATTTGGATCAGACGGTGGAGAGAAAAAGTTCGGTGGGATAGTCGGAAGAGACGCCGGATTAGGTGACAAAATACCCGGAAACGACACCGTTCTCTCGACCACACTGCTTATCTCTATTCCTTCAACCATACCCATATCACCATTTTCTGGTTTCGTCCCTTCCCGGGGTTTAGCTTTTTCCATGGAAGCAAAACGAGCCGCCGGCGATATTACACCGGCGGTGTCTTGAAAAAAAGAAGACGATGAAGTGACCGGAGATGGGCCGGTGAGACGTTGCACCAGAGTCATGAACTCACTAGGGTCCGTGTGAATTACCTTGGGAGAGACTGTGTAAATTATCACCGGTGGCCGGAGCTGAGCTTGTGGCTGATGCTGCTGTGTTGGTGCCACAGGAGGTTTTCTGATCTTGTGAGAGTCTTTACGTACTCTGAGTGGCGCCGGCCGAGGACCTTGGAGCTGAAGCTCTCGTCGGGGTGACTGGCTGTTGGGGAACTCCGGTTGGTCCATGGTGTTGTGGATGAAGAGTCGGTGATAGGAGAGAGAAAGAAAGGAGAAGGAGGAAGGAGGTGGTGGTGTTGAAGATGATAAATGCATTATTTTTCAAATGCAAAAGTATGAAAATATATAAGGTGAGATGAATCTATTATAAACAGTTTAAGTCAATGGAATATAGGGATTAAATATTATACAAGAAAAGTAGTAATCATTTATATGAAAATTTATTGGCTACTTGTATATAGTGATTGTTTGTTTAGGGTTTGGGCCAGTTGTGGTGTGTCATGGATGTTTGAACTTGTCAAGGAGGTGAGGGGTCATGTGCCACGTCAGATTGGTGGATGGATTGTGTAGGAAAACCTCTGAAAATTTATAACAAAAAATCCACNTGAGGGGTCATGTGCCACGTCAGATTGGTGGATGGATTGTGTAGGAAAACCTCTGAAAATTTATAACAAAAAATCCACCAATTAAAATTTTCCTTAGATTGGTGGATTGATGGTGTCATGAAAAATAATATAGTTAGTTTGGATACCTCAACCTTGGAATCTTAAACTCGGTNCAAAAAATCCACCAATTAAAATTTTCCTTAGATTGGTGGATTGATGGTGTCATGAAAAATAATATAGTTAGTTTGGATACCTCAACCTTGGAATCTTAAACTCGGTTCAGGCCTTGAACCCCTAACCCTTGACTAAGTCCTTCAACCATTATACTCGACCTAGGATTTGACCTTGGTCTTGGAGGGACCTAGAACATAGGCCCGAGAGCGGGAGGAGGTAGAGGTAGAGGTAGAGGTGAGGTGATGGTGGTGATAATGGTCATGATAAGTGGGAGTAGGTGGTAACGAAAAGTACATCTGGTATTAAAGAAGGACAAATTTTACATTGATGGAATTATACTCTGTGGTAAATGGAATGAATTTCTATTACTACATACTAAATATAGGAATAAACATTATTTAAAAATGACAATTCAGATTTGCATACTTCATTATCACCTACCAAACAAAGTTAAAGAGTGGTGTTTTTAGCCTTGTCAGCCACAACCTAGCTAATATTTTGTTAACTGCATTAAAGGTAAATCATAAACTGGAAAAAGCACTGTTATATGCTGTCCAAATCAACTCAAATATCTCATCCCAAATATATGTCTACCACACATATCATTTTGTAGGTCCCAAAAAATTTATTTTTCATTCAATATGTAGTGCACATGCATTTTGAATAGAAGATTTGAGTTTTAATTTGAACAATACAGTACTCTTTCTAAAAATACACAACACTGCATGTCCAACACACTTACCTGACTTGATACCTATTTAGTCAAGACATTAGAAAAAAACTCATCACAAAAGGTGATCTTTGACAATTGACACAAACTGTTGTACTTAATTAACCCGGCCGTAACCCAATAGTTCATTTTTGAGTTTGAGAAAGACTTTGCCTCGACCTGGATGGATAACTATGACTTTACTCTATGATGCCCAAACACATTGAATAAAATTGGACTTTCTTCAATAATTTTAAATTTGTCTAAATTGACAGCTTTACTTTGATTACAAAATTTTTTAAGGTGATGGTAAATTTAAGGTTTTTATTTTTTGGTCAATTAGGGGCAATTTGGAGGCCCGTTCAACCAATAAGATCAAGCAAGTTGCGCGCAGAAAGGAGGGTATGTGCATGTATGCAGTAATGCATATTGTCCACTGGGGACATAAGCTGTATTTATAGCAACCACTTTGGGTGATCTAAGTATGACTTTTCTTATTTTTATTTATTTATTTAGTTATTTTTAAATATGTTTTTTGGGGTGGAGAGAGGAGGGGGAAAGGGAATTTGAACCCTTAACCTCAAAAAACTAAAGTTTTCACAAGGCAAGGAGTACCCTTAATTATGACTTTTCTTATGGTGTCATGGGAGACCTTATAATCCCCTTGAAAAGGTATAAATTCCTTGCTTTGTTTGATAAATTCGATTTTCGAATTCGAATTCAAATCAAAAGGATACTGATTAACATTTATGATAGATCATTCTATATCAGATATTATGATTTATCAATATTTGACCTTGATGATATCTGAAATATGTCTAAGGTTGAGTTCGGTTTTTCAAACCCAGCTCTCGCAAGTCGGGAGTTCAGTTGTATGAAGACTCTGACTTCAGACCTCGAGCTCCCTGAATTTACACCTCAAGGAAGGTAGTATAAAAGATAGTTGGCGTCCACCAAACACCCCCTCGATAGTAACAGTTACTTATCCAAACACGAGATTCGTAACCGCCCCAACACTCTCAACAGCCGTTGCACAATAAAAGCAGCCGTTATGAGAAAAAGGTAGGGATCTCGCCATAGATCTAGCTAGACCCAAAATTAACTATATAAAAGAGGCAAAACCCTCAACAGAGGCAAACAATCGTTGTTTTACTAAACTATTCTCTGTAATATCCCTTATTATCAATAAATTTTCCAAGAGCAAGAGACTCATTTGAGAGTGAATTAGCCGAGTTCTCGAGCCGGTAAACCACTATAAATCTACTGTGATTATCCCATTCCCTGATCCAATTCTCAAGAGCCTTGAAGTTCAAACTGAACTATTTAGTGCACATTGAATCCACCATTCTGCTTTGTTGTGTTACATACATCATTAAATATGATTCTCTTATGATCCAAATAATGCATACACATACACATATATGATGGAATTTAATAATTATTCAATGAAGTCGAGTTAAAATTTAGATGTGGTTTACTAAAATTAAGTTCAATTAAGCTATTCAAATTAAATAAAATTTTGGGTTCGATTTTGATTTCTTACTAGTTCGGTTATAATTCAAGAGAAAAAGTTTGTCAAGTATCTGGATCAGAATCAAATTGGAGTTTATAAGTTAGATTTAAATTTAAATAAGATGGAATTCGATCTAAATTTGATCTATTGAAAGGTCTAATTTGTTGTATTGTATGTACATATATGCTATCATACATCAACTTCTTCTGCATACAAAAACATGCACGTTAATACATTCATATATATATATATATATATTTGTTGTTAAGCATTGGAATCAAACACTATACATTCATTGTAAAGCATGGGAATAAAACACTAATGTTAAGGTAACGTCTGATACCATTTTTTTCGAACATTTTTTTGGTTTTTTTTTTTTTTTGAAGTTTTAAGTCGGCTCAACAACCTAATTTGTTGATCTATTCACTTACAACTATTAAATTGATTATAGGTCCTAGTTTTCGTTAGGACTTACTACTAATTCAATAGTTGTGATGAATTAAATTAACAAATTATATTAATAAATTAAGTTTCAATAGTATTACAGTTTCAGAATACATCCTTTGGACACAATTACTCGCCGTTTTATAATTTATTGTATAATATAATAAAACCATTTACTGGCTTTTATAGGTCTTCATTTGATTATTGTCAATACATTACAACTTGGAAGTTGAATTCTTAACTTATAAAACACAACAACGACCAATATTCATTTACTTTGATTTAATAATACACAAATTATGCCCCCCCAAAAAAATTGCATTCAAAAACACCATTTTCTCAACACGACCTTTAATATCAAATAACTCAACCTATATATTTTTCAATACCAACACACTCTCTTTAATCTAGAGTTATTTACTAGTGTGCATCACTTTTCAAACAATATTTACCAATTTATGATACTTTTGAATTTATTTTTCAAACTACGATACTTTTTAAAAGGTCGGGTTGTTGACCCTGCTTTGAAATTAACACCCTCCTTTTACATTTGAATGAAATATTGATATTGTCTTATATTTGACCAAATATTGAAAGAGGGGTTGTTGAAATGACTCTGCTTTTTAAAAAGTGTGTAATTTGATGAATAAGTTTAAATATATCGTACATCGATAATATTTTTTTGAAATATACCATATTTTGGTATATTTTTTTGACATAAACCGTATCTCTCTCAAACATTTTCTCTGATGAATAAGTTTAATTTTTTTTTATTTACAATATAAATGTTGCACGATCAATATTCAATTTTTGATATTGTAGTGGATGTCTTTAAGCACGAGGTTACTGCTAGTCTATATATAATTTTTTAAATAGGAAGCTGAATTCTCAAGTAAAAGAACAACAACAGTTAAGATTAATCCATTTTTTTATCTACTTTGATCAATGATACAAAATTCATTCCAAAATTTTTTCACTCAAAAACATTATCTTAACCAATACACTCTCTAATATTAGACAACCCTATTAATTCACACCTACCTCTCCCTTCTTTATCTTCCTTACCTCTCTTTTATTTTCTCTATGTTCACTTTAATTCTAAATTACATAAATAAAAAATAAATTACTGTTTAAAATATAAATGTTGCACGATCACTGCTTGATTTTTGATATTACGAAGTGTCTTCAGACACGATATTATTGCTAGTGTAACAATATTGTGAACAATAACTACTCAATTATGATCCTGAGCTAGGGTAGATGACGAATCATATCATTTTGTATTGCGTATCATTTTAAAATTTATTTAATTTATACAAGATTTATGTAATTTGTGTATAATCAAGTTCATGTAGTATCTATAGAACATAACTAATACACATCAATCCATTTACTTTGGCCAATCAGTCAGATTGTCCTGGTAAGATCAATTAATCCCTGTTCACTAATTTCGTATGTTGGACTAGTAAATTGTTACATGTAGAATTGTCGCCCTAGTAAAAGGAAGTATGAGTAGAAGGACAATATAGAGATGGAATAACAAGCATGTATGTTGCATACATAGACCAATTTTGCCATTGCAAGACCGTTGTTTCGAGTCAGATGTTTTTGTTTGTACTTCTGGAAGAGTTAGTTGGCCTACTTCTGGTTTTGTCAAAAGCCTTCGGTTGTTCCTTTGGACAAGACCACTTGCTTTTGTCTTCTAGGATTTTTCTTACAACTACCAGGAGTGTTAACAAAATAATTGATAGGGTGACATTTCTGAAATGATGATGTGGGAATCCCTTTTCACAATTTTAACTAAAAAACACTATAGATGTGATTGTCCGACCCTTACATGACCGAGTTAAGATTCCTAAAAATCAGCGAAAGTATAAAATAATACAATGAAATATATGAAATTTGAAACTTTATTTTTATTTTTATCAACTTAGTAAGGCATG